TTCTAGAATCTTTGTATCTCAGACTTAAGCGAGATTATGCACCTGAAGATTATGAAACATGGGTTAATGTTGCGGTTACTCGGAAAGTGCCTGATATTGAGCTTGTTATTCGTCATCCATTTCATACCATTGCCTATGAGCTTATACACACATGAAACCCTTGTGGTTTTACGTCTCATGAAAGGGACCATTGACGATGTTCCTTCGACAACTTGTTTCCGGTCCCTCAAGACTTTGTCTCTTCTAGATGTGTTCTTCACAAGCGATAAAACCGTTGAGAGGCTTTTGTCTTGTTTCCCTATTCTTGAAACATTGGTTGTGGACCGATGGGGGGGCGAAAATGTGAAGACTTTCGCAATTTGTGTGCCATCGTTGCAGAGCTTAAAGATCCGCTACAGAGTAGGGGGTTATCACGATCCAAAAAATGATCATGGATTTGTCATCAATGCTCCTTCTTTAAAGTATTTAGATATTGTTGATCATTTTAGGGGGGTTTTATTCTTTAGGGAATATGCCCGAGCAATTGGATGCAGAAATCCACGTTAGACATTGTGATTCTGAGACGCTTCTAGGATATCTTACCTCGTCTAAAAAACTTTCCTTATGTTTAAAACCACAAATGGTAAAGCCTCTCTGTTTCTCTTTTGTTTAAGATTCTTTTGCATTTATATTTAGTTTCGGCTAATGATGCTGTCACTTTTGCAGGGTTCATATCCGGAAGGCGACTTTGATCAGCTTGTGTCTCTTGACCTATGTGTTATGTGCTCCTTAGATTGGTTGAATCTTATCCTAAGCCGTTCACCTAAACTCCGAGCTCTCAGACTCTACCAATCAGTACGTTTTTTGATCCAAACCTAGATGATGTTGTTGCATCTTCAGTATATATATAGTCTTGGTGTATATTAATTAATTGCAACTCTTTTTCATGTTATTTTTGATCTCAGAGAGAGAGAGGCGGGAGCTGCCGGAATTCTAGAAATGTCCGTACCAAGTGGGAGCAACCGAGTTCTGTTCCTGAATGCTTACTTGTGAGTCTCAAAACTGTTGAGTGGATTTTGTACAAAGGGACACAAGAAGAGAAGGATGTGGTAAAGTATTTGTTAGAGAATGGAAACTTCATAAAAACTATGAGTATTGGATTCTCATCAGTAATCACGTTGGAAGAGAGAAACAAAATACAGTTGGAGTTTGAGTCTATGCCAAGGAGTTCTAGAAGATGTCAGCTTTCATTCACTTAAGTTTTTTGGCATCTCAAAGCTATAAGATTTTTAATGTTTTGATTTATTTGAACATGTTTTTTTTTTCCTCTTTAAGTCTTCAAACTTCTTTCTTCTGATTTGTCTCAAAGCTTGTAGTTTTACTCCAAATTAGTGACTATACATTGAGAGCCAAGATTTGAGCAGCATTAGTGTTACTGTTTGATACTTTTGTGAATTCGTTTTTTTCTCATCACAATTTCCCAATCTTATGATCACTTCTCTTGTCTCTCAAAGTTTTTTACATTTGGATGTCATCAATGTAAGTGTAAATAGTGATGTTTTTGTTAATAGCTATGCTATAGATTATACGGAGCAATTTTAAACGAGATTGCTTTGAAATCTTCCTCACATTACGATGAGGGTATTCCAAAGGTTACGATAAATGTTCCTTCTTTGAAGTACTTAACCATTGATGATCGGGGGAATGATTTTGATGTCATTGATAACTTGTCTCAAGTTGTTTGATGTCATTGGGATAGCAATCTTCCACAGCCTTTGTGATATCTGTAAGCTAACATGATATCGCGGATGCTTCGATCTATCTGGTGGAATGGGGACGCACTAGAGCTAGCGTTCTTGTTGTGAATCCTCTCACTTTATCAAGTTATAAATTTGAAAAAGATAATTGGATGTTCAGTTTTGGACTCAAGTAATTCAAGTAGAGTAAAGAATATAAAGGATAAAATGTTGCTTTGAAGTATCTCTGACCTAATTAGCGTTTCAATTGTTCTCTAAACTTCTTATGATACTGTAATTGCGTGAACCGAAGAGAGTCAATCCAATAAGCATATATAGCTGAAACAGAGGAGATGCCTTGTTTACCTTGCTAAACAAGTCATCTCACAAATAATATAGAGATTCATTGTATGAAAAGTTTTATAAGTTGTGACTTTGATAAATGGTTGGTACGAGAAAAGAGAAGCCTAAACTCTGCATTCGTGTTTTAACCGCTTGATACATAGTCTCTGTTAGTCAGAAACAGAGGATTAGAGGAACTTACTTAGGTACAGCGAAGTAAGTATTTAGGCCTTTCTCCATTCACCTCATATACCCTCTAGCCAATGGAGTCGATAAAAGGAATATTAATTAGAGACCATTTCAGTATATTTTTACAGTTTGAAAAGATGCCGGAGCTGGTCAAGGCGAATGTCGAGAATGTTTGTGATCAACCTGACTACCTGAGAGTTAAATAGCAAACGCTGATCTAAAGACGTCGAAATTCTCTCAAAATCTACTGAGAAACATCATA